GTGTGCCAATGGGTTAAATTAGACGATATATAATATAAATTCGACGACTGGATAAATTACACGATATATTATTTAAATATAGAATAATTATTATATCAGGTATTATATTAGTATATCATAAAAATTAGACCAAATTATTGGACGCACTATAGTTCTTTTAATAATGACATGTTTTGGACGAGTTATTTTAATAATGAGAATAATTATTATATCAGGTATTATATTAGTATATCATAATAATTAGACCAAATTATTGGACGCACTGTAGTTCTTTTAATAATGACATGTTTTGCACGAGTTTATAGGTAATACTTTTATATTTAAACAAACATGTAATGGGCCTTTATTCAGGAGATTTATCATCTACTTCCTATTTGTATTTATTATTTTTTTGTATTTATTTCGTATTTATTTTGCATTTAAAATTACGTCAACCAATTGATACAAGAACGTAAACAAGTACAAACCGGTTTCAACCATGCTAAAAAAAAAAAAAAAAAAAAAAAAAAAAAAAAAAAAAAAAAAAAAAAAAAAAAAAAAAAAAAAAAAAAAAAAAAAAAAAAAAAAAAACTGTATAGCATCATATAATAATTAAGATTTTACATAGAGAGTGCGTTTAATAATTTGGCCAGAGGTTGTATATACTTAAATCCACATCTGCGTTAAACAAGGGGAAAAAACACGAAACTCTCTCAAGTGTCTCCTATTAATTAATTTGCAAAATTTCTTCCAATGTCACTTAATATTATAAAGCATTCGAACCCCGCTATAGCGAACTCTTTGCGAAGTCAACAATAAGTTCCCACTAAACAGTGTTTCACTATTTATGCATATTGCAGTTGCATTGTTGGAAATAGTGACAGCAAAGGTGCATAATTTGCTTTATAAATTTTTAGGTAAATGTGTAGAGTTTCTGTACAACTAAATTTCCTTACAGCGAATTTTTTTCTATGATGGTAAATTTTAATCGAAATTTTAAAGAGCGTGTAAGACATTCTCCGAATGACAACGTGGCTGTCTTCCCACAAAAAATATTTCAAAGTTTTATTTTTTTTAATTTTCGTCATTTTAGAAATATTTTAGACATTAATCGTTTTGATATCTGTCGTTATTGAAAAAAAAATGTTGCAATTTAAAGTAGGAAACACTTTCATAATTCAATCCATTTAAGCTCTCCATTATAAAGTATATCATTTCATTTAATAATTAATAATTAATAATTATATGCTTTTGAAGTTATCTCATCCACTAAGTATTTCGCAATTTAAATGCCTGCTGGAATCCACTATAAGCGAGCTACCAATTTCTCAGCTGTTTACTAAAAATGTATATAAACAGCAGTTCGTTCGGGACAACTAAATACGGAGCTTTGTAATTTTGAACTCAATTCAGAAGACTAAGGAACTCCTGGATCAAGTATTAGGAATAAATTTGCCTTCGTGGAAGACATTTTGAGGGAACTAATCCACATTTGCGTTACCTAGAGAGGAAAACCACGAAAACCACCCATAGGTAGCTTGAGGAGAAGGGGATTCCAATCCATGATCCATGATCCATGAAGGGACTCCAATCCTACCATGGAGGAAATTTTACGCCAGCACTGTGGTTGGTGCGAGCCGGGTGCGGAATTCATATCGACAAGCCACTTCTGAGATTCGAGCTAAGTTCAACTCATTGGGGGGCGAACTCTCTATCCCCTGAACCACCACGGCTCTACAACGAAGTGTTGTCTAATCCTTCCTTAATCCCTCCTTAATGAATTAGAATTTTACTTAATCAAAAATTGATACGTTTCTGCAAAATTTATAATTTATACTCTCGATATATTGTCATCAGACATTATAAAAAATCCGTACAATCAGTTATCGAATATAAATATTTTTATTTACTTATTAAAAATTGTACAATATGTGATTTGGTTATCGTTTTAACCAATTTCACCACAGATGAATCACCCCATTGCAGTGTCTGGCAATATTATTCGACGCACTTAAAGATTATATGCAAAATTATAATTGTCAGATGATACTATACATATGTATTGTTTTTACGCGAATGAAACCGGTTTGCATTTGTTTGCTCTCCTGTATCAATTGCTTAATATGGTAATGAAATACGTTGAAAATAAATGCAAATAGGAAGTATATAAAAATCTCCTGAATAAAATCCCATTACATGCTTGTTTAAGTATAAAAGTATTGCATATAAACTCGTGCAAAACATGTCATAATTAAAAAAACTACAGTGCGTCTAATGATTTGATCTAATTATTATTATATACTAATAGAATTCCTGATATTATAATGTTCTATATTTATATAATATATCGTCTAATTTATCCTACCGTCGAATTTATATTATATATCGACTAATTTAACCAATTGATGCACCAACGTAAACAAGTGCAAACCGGTTTCATTAACATTGTAATGCAATACGTTGAAAATAAATACAAATAGGAAGTATATAAAATTCTCCTGAATAAAAACCCATTACATGTATGTCTAAATAAAAAAGTATTGCCTATAAACACGTGCAAAACAGGCAATTATTAAAAAACTATAGTGTGTCTAATAATTTGGTCTAATTATTATAATATATTGATATAATACCTGATATAATAAATNTCAATCCATTTAAGCTCTCCATTATAAAGTATATCATTTCATTTAATAATTAATAATTAATAATTATATGCTTTTGAAGTTATCTCATCCACTAAGTATTTCGCAATTTAAATGCCTGCTGGAATCCACTATAAGCGAGCTACCAATTTCTCAGCTGTTTACTAAAAATATATATAAACACCAGTTCGTTCGGGACAACTAAACACGGAGCTTTGTAATTTTGAACCCAATTCAGAAGACTAAGGAACTCCTGGATCAAGTATTAGGAAGAAATTTGCCTTCGTGGAAGACATTTTGAGGGAACTAATCCATATTTGCGTTACATAGAGAGGAAAACCTCGAAAAACACCCACAGTTAGCTTGACGAGAAGGGGACTACAATCCATGATCCATCTACCACGGAGGAAATTTCACGCCAGCACTGTGATTGGTGCGAACCGGGTGCGGAATTCATATCTACAAGCCACTTCTGAGATTCGAGCTAAGTTCGCCTCATTGAGAGACGAACGCTCTATCCCCTGAGCCACCACGACTCTACAACGAAGTGTTGTCTAAATCTCCAAAGTTCGTTATATCTGGGTTAGACTATGTAAGCAATGATTTTGGGGGATACTTAATACTGTAGCTTGTACTGGCTGAGGTATTACGTTTATTAGGTCATTTCCTTTGTGAATTTTATAAACTGAAAACGAGATTGGACGACATTTTTATTTCAAAAGTATGTACTTTTCGCTATTGAAATGCGTGACATGTATTTGCGAGTACGCAAACCCCTGCCACACATATATTATAGTATGTATGTATATTATGGTATACTATGTATATTATGATGGTATACTAGGGTATACACACAGTAGTATACTATGGGGACGGAGTTTGCAGGTAAATTCTGTCCCCAATGACGTTGCTGCCATCTTTAAGTTAGAGATGAGTTTACAAATCATTCTTGAATAAAGTCTAAAAATGTACTAAAAACGTATAAATGTAAGTTATGGAAGAATAAACTCATTCTGAATATGTACAATCCCCCCCCCCGCTTCCATAATGAATTAGAATTTTACTTAATCTCAAATTGATACATTTCTGCAAAATTTATACTCTCGATATGTTGTCATCAGACATTATAACAAATCCGTACAATCATTTAGCGAATATAGATATTTTTATTTACTTATTAAAAATTGTACAATATGTAATTTGGTTGTCATTTTAACCAATTTGCCACAGATGAGTCACCCCATTGCAGTCTCTAAGCATATTATATATAAAATTCCATGTAAAATTATAATTATCGGGTGATACAATACAGCTGTATTGTTTTTACTCGGATGAAACCGGTTTGCATTTGCTTATGTTCGTGTATCAAAACGTTAACATTGTAATGCAATACGTTAAAAATCAATACAAATAGTAAGTATATAAAAAATATCCTGAAGAAAAACCCATTACATGTATATTTAAATATAAAAGTATTGCCTATAAACTCGTGCAAAACATGTGATTATTAAAAAACTACGGAGCACCTAATAATTTGATCTAATTATTATTATTATATACTAATATAATGTTTGGTATAATAAATGTTCTATATTTATATAATATATCGTCTAATTTATCCTACCGTCAAATTTATATTATATATCGACTAATTTAACCAATTGATGCACAAACGTAAACAAGTGCAACCCGGTTTCATTAACATTGTAATGCTTAACATTGTAATGCAATACGTTAAAAATAAATACAAATAGGAAGTATATAAGTATATAAAAAATCTCCTGAAGAAAAACCCATTACATGTATGTCTAAATATAAAAGTATTGCGTGCAAAACAGGTAATTATTAAAAAACTACAGTGCGTCTAATCATTTTGTCTAATTATTATAATATACTAATAATACCTGATATAATAAATATTCTATATCTATATAATATATCGTCTAATATCGTCAAATTTATATTACATATCGACTAATTTAACCCATTGATACACGAACGTAAACAAGTGCAAACCGGTTTTAGTCGCGTAAAAACAATTAAGCTGCATAGTATCATCTGCTAATTAAGATTTAACAGGGACTGTATATGGATATTGTATTTAAACTGCGTCTCTCCTACGATAACTTCAAAATAATGTTCAACAGCATATTTTATGCGATGAGGATGAATAATGCAATACAAGACAGCACGCAATCCTCTCAATAATAAAAAGAAACAAAATATTGAAACGTAAAATAAAATAAAAAAATTATGCAGTTATAGGTTGGAACAATTCCCATCTTTTTTTGTTTTGTTTCGGCGAATGGAGTGTGTAGGGCATTAACATGGCGCCGACCTGTCTCTGTTGTCCACAAATGCCGGGGCGGCCCGAGCGTTGTGTGCTGCCCTCTGCCGAAAATCTTGTTTCTTCGGAATCCCGTTTTCAACCGCAGCGGTTCTTAACTGCACCCCCCATACTGTGAATTGAGTTAGCAGACGATTTATACTTCACTGCCCACCTTTAAAACACATACCATCATCATGTCTGATTGTGAGTAGATTTTTAGATTTTTAACTATCTTCCTTTCGAATTAATTTTAAAATGCAAATTTCAATATTAATGTCACGGTTATTGATTTTCTGGAACAGATGGAATATATTATTTTTTTTATAGGCACTTAAGGTGTGGTCAAACGTTAGATTATTGGTTATTTCATTCAGAATTTATTCATTTTTTTAAACAGGTACTAAACAGCTTTGATTAAGTTTTTTAATTTAGTCGTAAATGAAGATCGTGGCTTTAAATATATTAGATATGAATTCGGGACGAATATACTCGTGATTGATTTATAAGGCTCAAACGCTTATATCTTTCGTTTTAAAGATGCAAAAATGCATTATTCTCTGAAAAGATTGTAAGATTAGGAGCCAATGTTGCAAAGAGTAATTTCATTTAAATTCATCTGTTCTGAATTGCATTTTAATTTTTTCAGATTTCGCTTTTTGAATAAGATGTTTTTTATTTACAAAAGTAATTAATATTATATCTGAAAAATAGTTAACTTTGGAAATAAAAGCTTTTTTTAAAAAATAAAAAAGGTACATTTATAAACGTAAAAGTAACGAAATAAAAATACGTCGCTTGTGGGGGGGAAAATAAAAATCTATAATAATCGAATAGTGAGTCATGTATGGTGAGGTATACGTAGTGATGCATACGATGATGCAATGCAGTACCTTGTTATGACTGCAATAGAGTTAAAAAAGATTATTTTAATTTATATTTTTTTATTTTGTCTAAATTCTTACTAAATGTTATAACAATTAAAATTAGCAGTTTTTTAACTAACATTTCCAGTTAATTTTTTATTTAAAAATAAATATTTAAAAATTCAATTTTTCTTATAATTCCATTTAACATCTTCAATTATAAAATATAATTACAATATTTAATTATTAAATAAATTATTTATTGAGATAAAGCGAATCATAAACTAAATTCACTTTATGCATAGAATCAGAGAATGTGAAATTGTATATACGTTTTCACTTTTATACAATTTAAGTAAGTACGAACTTGTATTCGTCAAAAATGAATGGATATTTGCATATAATTTATAACGTTTCATTTGCAGGTGAATGTTTCATGCTTATACTTTGAACATGAAAGTGATAAAGTAAAGTTTATAAGTTTTAATTTCATTTATCACTATTTTATCTATCCCTATTTTTTTGTATTCATTTAAAGAATTTTAAAGTCAAAAAATATTATTTTGATTTTAATAAACGGTAAATAAATGAAAAAACGTTAACAAATAGTTAATTGTCATTTTTATTAACTGTTCACATTTACTAAAATTGATACGGAAAAGAGATTTTTTTTTATTGTTTTATTAGGAAAGCATATATTAACAATAGTATTTGATTTATTCATTAATTGATATATAATAATTATACATTGATATAGTATATTGATATACAATTATATAGTGATATATAATTATATATTGATACATAAATCATATATTGATATATGATTTATAAATATTATTTGATTTATTGTTGGTTTATTCGAGATAAATACGATTTTTAAAAATGGGTTATACTACTGATTTACAACACTGCAAGTTTATTTTAAACACACCAAACATACTTCTTTCAATTACGAGTGAAGATACTGACATTCGAAACTAAGCCAAAATTAAATGTTGTAAATTCTAAAGTCAAAATAATATTTTTTTAACTTAAATTTTTTTTATTTGAATGTAACAAATTAGTGACAGTAAATCTATGACTTATGAAGCTGCTTTCGTGACAAAAGTATAAGAATTCAGCATTCATCTGCAAATTAAACGTCAAAGCAAAATCAAACTTTACGTGATAAATTTGATCAAAATGAATACATATACTATTTCTAAATCTATAAATCATTTTTAAATGTGCATTCATTTAATGGTTTAACTTTGAATCTTTATAGAATTTATTTAAAACTAAAATAAGCAAATGTTAGTAATATATTAACTTTATTTATTAAATTTCAATTATGCGGGGTTATAAGAGTTATAATTGAAGAAGTTGAATAGACATATAAAAAGAATTAATAGCCATCACTTATGCCAAATTTATGGCCATATTTTAGAATGGACAAAACAATGGAGTTACTTTATTGCGCAATAAAATAAATTTCTCATGGAATTTCAGTCTGCCTCCCCTCTTGAAACTGCAGCGACGCAACAGCTATTCCACAAACCAACGTATTGAATTTAGTAATTCAGCAATAGCAATTATTGCATTGAAAGTTATCATAGCATAGCAATATTCTCTACAACAACAATTCCTGTTGAAATTTCATCACAAAGCTTTGAAAAACTGTATGGTTTTATTTAATAATATAAAACTACAATGGCTTCGAAAATATGATGAAGGTAATAAAAAGTCGACACGTTTCGAGCGCTCAAATGTAGGCGCCTATTCTCTCGACGAGAATGAGGGGGAAAAAAGTGATTTGAAACAGAAATCGTTAACTTCCCAACGAAAAAGGGAAAATAAAGCTGAAAACAAAATTTCAAAACCCTCAGTTTGCAGGTGTGAAATAGAAATTGAAAACGAAATAAAAACTAAACTGGATAAACCGTAGTAATCGGAAGCTGTCACAGTGATCAAGATGTCGATTTTATACATTTTCGTCTGGCGAGTCTTGAAAATGGATGCCCATTATTGAGCTCTTGAAACATGTCGACTTTTATTACCATCTTCATATTCAGAATTCAGAATCAGAGAAGGGGGGAGGGAGGAAATGGAAATGTTCTTTTCCTGTTTATTCTATACAACGTCTTAAAACGTACATCGCATGAATAAATTAAGAATCTAACCTTGATCCTGGTATTCAATGCTATTTATAATTTTAAAAAATACCCAATTTATTGTATATTGAAAATAAGTTTATGTTATATACTGGATATTTGAAAAATAAAAAAAAAAACGCAATAAATATTTAAGTGTTCTTCTGTAGAAAAATCGTTTTAATAAGTTCTGAACAAGTTTAATAAAAAAAGAAGTGTTAATAAATAGAGTGAAACAAGTGATAAGCTACAAGTGATAAGCTATACAAGTGATAAGTATTAATAAGGGTGAAAAATTTGTGTTCAAAAAAATTTAAGCGTTAAGAAGTAATTCAAGAAGTAATTTTTTGAGAAATTTATAAAATAAACTATATATTTTATTTTCACCTATTTTTTATTTTTAATGAAGTTTCTTTGTAGGTAATCGATGCAATATTGCATGCCCTTGCTTTAATTATTTTCACTCAAGCACAATATATCTGTCTGAAGAATGTGCAATCTTCGAGTTTATTTAAAATTAAAAAAAAGCTAGAAATTTGCTTAAGATTTTGCGAAGTCAAGATCGTAGCTCATGAGTCAGAGGTCAAGGACAAACATTGAATCAATTCAATTTGATATAAAATACATTAGCGAAATTCAATTTTTACTGGGCAACAAAGCTCCTTAGTAATCTTAAGGCGAACTCCAGTAAGCGAAATTTTATCAGTAATTTATGATATAAAAATTATCTCTGCCTATTTTTTATTGAATACTTTTGGTTATGTTTTTTTTTTAATTTAGCCTACATGTCCAGAAAGCATGTAACCTTACGAAAACCTTGTCTCTGAACTGTTTTTTAACTGTTATGAAAATGTTAGTACTAAACCCTTTGTTCAATAAAGCAAAAATATCGCAGTTTCAAACCTTTCTTAAAAAAAAAAAATTTTTTTTAAAGCTTTTTTAAAAAGTATTGTCACTAAGGTAAAATGATGACGTAGGTCCATAATGACGTTTTATCTGACGTCACACTAGTAATAGGATCAAGCTACATTGTCCATTAAAATTTCATAACAATGTGTATTTAGCTGAGCATACAAGACTTCGTGAAAAGTAACCTTATAATTACCTAGATTTAAGATTATTTTCACCTTAAGACTAGCTTTATTCAAGGATGTTTTCACTCTTGATAACTCTAAGTCAACCTCGATTTACGGTTTTCATATACAGTCGAACTCGTTTATAACGAGCACAAAGGGACCGTAACATTGTACTCGTTAAATCCGAGTGCTCGTAATAAACGGATCCTTAAGGCAGGCGTGCAACCAGAAGAGGGAGGGGAGCTTGGGAGGTCAAATGATTGAATTTACTTAAAATTTAATTGATATTTACTTACTTTAATTACATTAATTAATTTAATTAAATACTTTTCTTAATTTAATGACAACTAACCTCCCCAACCTGCGAAAGATTAGAGCGATAAGGGCAATTAAATTTCATTTCGCGGTTTTTCTTTAATTTCACGCATTTCTTATCATTTTGAAAAAAAGATAAGACAGAAAGGCCAGAAAGATGAGAAAAAAGATTGTCAGACAGAAAAATATTGCTCGCTGAAACCGGGTCTTGCTCGTTAAAAGCGACTTCTGTTCCGCAGACTTAACATTGATCCAACCAAATATTCTCGTTTCCCTCGGTAAATCCGAGCTCATTATAAACGAGTTCGACTGTAGAAGGTTGTTTTCCAAGGTTTTGGATTAGGGCAGTGTTTCCCAAAGTGTGGTACGCGTACCCAAAGGAGTACGGGAATAGTTCAGCGGGGGTACGCGTTCTTATGCGAAATATCTTACAACAAACGAAAATATTATTTAAAAACAAAGCTAGCCATGAAAATTTACAATTGCGTATTTTTCTATTGGCTATTTTTTGCAGAGTTAATAATTAGGGGTGTCAACAGCCAGTTGTGATTTTTAACTTTTGAGCAATTTTTTTATAGTAAAAATTACATTAATTTTTTTATTAGTGGTACACAGCGTTACGGAAAATTTAGAAAGGGTACACAGAAGACATAAGTTTGGGAAACCCTGGATTAGGGTCATGTGCGAAGAATAGAGCAGATTATCACAGATATCGTTTTAAGGTTATTAGATTTACACGTAAACCACATAACAAACCTTTTTAGGTTTACATTCAAAGGTTTTTGCTGAGTTAAAATAAACCTTATTTTGCTATCTGG